GGAAGCTAGCATGATGAAAATTCGCATTGATGCTCTCAAAACTTCTCCATTATTAATAAAACGACGCTAACAGTTAGGCCATACAACTTTAAATATTGTGGGTTGCACAGTAGGCTAGATTGTTAAAGCAAATTAAGCATCTCACAACCTGCATATTAGGCGAGGAATTATTAATCGAAAGGGCAACATGTCCTATATCAAAACATATTCCCTCTATTTTTCGTTCATAAGTAGTATTTTAAGACTACCAGTAAATCGGTTATTTGAGATATATTCACCCTATGAAGTAGTTGTAGCTGAATTTTCCACAATCATATGAGTAGAGTTGACATTTTCATTGAATCACACATAGCCTTGCTTTCCCAAAAGGTGTTCCCATCCAAGTTGGACTACAATTTCGATCTCGCCTAGGTCTTATCAACACCCCCAGCAGGAGTCAAACCATGACAGTGCCGCGTGTTATCTCGACATATTAACCACTACGCAACATTGCCATGAGTGTCACGAGTCACAGGGCAGTTGCAAATTTCAAGGAAGGCCAGGAATTTCTCATATCATATTCTTTGGTGGGATTCCGATGAAGCAAAGTTATACTTGCTACGCAATCGACTAAATTACTTATTTTTCGTTAATAAGTAAAGTTTCGAGACTACCACTAAATCGCTTATATTAATAGCATTCACTATATTTCGTTTATGGTGAAGAATAAAACTTTGCTACAGAGACAATCCCACCAAAGAATATGATATGGACAAACGCTTGGCCTCCTTTGAAATTCACATCTGCCCTGTGACCCCAGGGCATTAGTGGCAGTGAAGTAGTCGTTAACGTGTCGAGCTTACGCTCTGCATCGTCCTGGTTCGACTCCCGATGGGGGTGTTGATAAGATCTAGGTGACGTCGAACCTGCGGTCCACCCTGGATGAGAACACCTTTTGGTAAAGCAAGTACATGTAAAATTCAACGGAAAAGTCATTGTGGGAAAAATACTCTAATTCCTTAAATCACCTTAAGCGAACTGAGATTCTACCAAAGTGTTGATGAATTTAAGCGATGACACATTTTTCTTAAATCTCCATCACAAAACTCACAATCCTGAATTTTTTTCCGTTGATACTGCTGTTGAGAGGTCGACACTACTGTCTATCCTTGATGGAATAGCATTACAGGAGGCAATGGTATTGTGAGACCTACCATATGATTGTGGAAAAAATCAACTATTAGCTCTTAACTCATTCTAAAGTATCTGGAGTGACAAAGCTTTTATTCAAGAATTTCAAATTGACTATGAATGTAGTTTTATCGGAAAATATTTTTCACACAAATTCCTACGATTAGCCACGATATTCACGAATCTGCATCGAACCCCAATGAAGGCGCTGATGAAACACACTTTAGATTGAATCTGCAGTCTGCCTTAGATGAAACAGCCTTATAGAGCCAAGGATAGGTGAAAATCAATGGTTTCCCGAGACCTACTCATTTAATTAAAGAAAAACTCTATATATGAGTCCCTAAATCACTCCTATAGTCACCAAGTTGCTTTACTGGCATCATCCAATATTCTGTTCAGTTTGTTAATTCTTGGTCTAACAGTTTCATATGAGCCAAGTTTTTCATGCATTGGCCTACTTGTATTAACCACAAGGGATGAAAGTGAATTAAATAAATAAGATAGCCTCTGTTGGCATACACAACCAAATAAACGTACTTTGCCAGCTTTTGTACTGTTTAAACTGCATCTACTTTTTGGTTTAAAGACCTACTCTAACCAAAAGGCATTTAATCCAGCCTAGTTTGTGCTGGAAATCTAAATCTTTTTTTTTCAATTTTACACGTTTTACTCACTTAGTGATAATATTAAAAGCTAGACACCGACCAATCTCATTCGCATTTATGCAATAAGCTTTGCACTGTAGTCGAAGGTATGAAAACCAGGATGGTGCAGCCTCCATTTCGGTGTATAAAATTGGTTTAACCTCACCATCGCAACTTGTTCATAGTGTTAGAGACCTAGGTGGTACATTTTAAATAGGAATATATTAACTACACGGCCCAATGCCGAAAATTATCATAACAAGGTATATTCATTTAACTCCATGACAAAACGACGAAGTTGTAAAAAATGGGTCAAACCAGTTTTTAGCATTTTAGGTCCAATTTGAATCATGTAGCAGAGGCATGTAAAATTAAAGTCATTTAAGTTAGATGGCGTGTACCTATTCTGCCCTGGGGAAAAAAGACTGTGTACCTCTCTTCTCTGATGCAATCGGATGAAGTGAGAAGCATTGGTAGGAATCCTCCAAACGATTTTCGGTATTGGTTGGCCCTCAACTTGGCAGACAAATTGCACTATCTCACCGGGCGTGGCTAGCACACTCTCGGGGGGCTTTGTGATTGCAGGCATCACCAGGCCTTGATGCTCAGGTACAGCATCACCGCCTTCTTCGCCATCCTTCTCGTTGGCTTCACTTCGCCTAGTGCTGGATTCTAAAAGCCGAGATCTGGCTGGTCGGCCACCAAAGTCGTCGATTGGACAGTGGGGCCAGGGCCACTCCTTTCCAGGACCAACAAGCAGTCGATGAATCCTAAGCCCTCCGAACTCGGACCGTTCATTCTCCTCAGGCACAGCCTCCGAGTAGCCTAGGTAACGGGAGTCGTTGGAGTACTCACGCAGCCTGCGTCCGAGGACGGCTAATGGGACACCCAAGACCTCAGATGGCGAGTGACAGACAACGGGCTGCTGGGCAGTCTCAAAGACGCCCAGGTTAAGTGCAAAGTCTACCAGGTGACAGGGACAGTGCAGCGGATTGTTGGAGAGGCGGAGTCGCGTCAATCGTGCCAGACTTTCCAGGGAATACGGTAGAGTCTGAAGTCGGTTCTCGGCCAGATCAAGCTCCTCCAGTTCTGACACGGGGAAGAATACAGAGTCTGGAAGTCGGATGAGATGGTTGTCACGCAGGCTTAGCCTACGAAGTGAGGCTAGCCCAACAAGTGCGTCAGACGCCACCTCAGATATTCTATTCGAAGTGAGATCTATGCGCACCAGGTCCTCTTGGCCGAGAAACGCGGAGCTGCGGATATTTGTTATTAAACTGGAGTGCACGCCGAGGTACTGGATCACGCCTCCCGTGTCACCACCGATGAAGGCTGGTAAACTTGGAAGCTCGCGCAACGAGTTGCGACACATGATAGATTGTCCAGAACACCGACATCCAACTGGGCAGAATATATCATTCGATTTCTGGCCTTCTACCTGAGGCAAAACCTCAAATGGGCCACAAATTAGCAGCGAGATAGCGAAAAAGATATTAAAGACGATGAATAGGCGCATGCAGAAGAAGGACGTTTGCAGGATTGGATTCCACATCGCTGGAAATGCCGTGAGCATGAAACTTTGTTGAAATAACTTCTTCCACATTGTAGATCAAAAGTCAAATTATTCGAAGTCAGAGATTTCAGGCTTACTAGCTGTTCAGGGGTTAGTTGGCATCATAAATGTCAGACGAAACGAATATCTGTGTGCAAGGCAAGGGTGGTTGTGAAATTCGCCTCAACAGGTTCGGTGTATACGTTGTTCACTTGAACTGGGTATTGCAATTGCATGTGTGCACGTGTGCTCCAGTTATGTTTATTAAGGTCATTCAGAGCTGATAAGACACGCGGTAGTCGGCTTTAGTTGGCCAGTCAAGGGCGAACCGACAGCTCGGCCTATCTGGCTTGTTTCTACACGTCATGATGTGTTGCACATCTCACTTGAAAACGGTTAGGGGATAAAGTGTCTCAGACGTGGGCCAATTTATTACTGAGATTCGTCAAGTTTTCGTCTTAGATTTGCGCAAGCATATACAGTGAAGTTGCAAGGCCTTGTTGAGTTTTGAATACAACTTGTCTCTTCATTCCCAAATCGGTGGTAAAAGGACCTCAGTCAGTTGGTTCCATAATAACAGCTTAAAATAGACTTTTATAGCATAACCTGGAATTATAGAACTATATCACTTCAATCAAATTGCAATTGAACACATTATCAGAGGTCCTAGACGTCATGATGCACGTTTATCAATACCAGTAGCACAATCTTAATGGTCAGAAAATGTTTCAAGAAACAAATAAGTTGACATTATGTTATTTGCTGCGCTGCTCAAATAAAAGTTTATGTGATTTTGAACGATTCAGCCGGGCTGATTATATAACAAGTTACGACTATCTGTAGTACCATTATGTGATCATAGTTCCTTTAGCGCACAGATCAATTATAAACACCTCTTATCCTCACTAGTACACTACAAAGCTTGACAAATCACTTTGTCTTCAGCCCACCATTAGATTCAGTAGACCAACTAATGTCCTCCAGAAAGTCTCTGCTAGGAACTCCAAGCCCAAGAAGGCCCTGCCAGTTGCAGCCTCCTAGCATTTACAGATCCCAATCGTGCAAATCAGCTCTTTCTTGAAGCGACGGCAATAGCGCACCTCCCCAAACGAGGCTTTACGTACATTACTTCTCCGAACACCCCTTCTGGTGCACTAAACTCTCACTCAGTGCTGAAACTCAAGTTAAGTCCTCCAACGACTGCTCCACAAAGGTAAAGGGACTTTTCCGGAGCGAAATTTGAATCAAAGCCGCACCTCTGTTTTGGACCTCTGCGCAACAACTCGTTATAGTCTCTCTTACATGACAATAGGACGAAATACACTCGTAGTTGTCCGGGTTCCGCTTTCTCATTCTGTACCGTAAGTCCCCTAAATATTCAATATACACAAAAACTCTCCTATGCTCATATTATCTAATTCAGTACAACTTCAGAATCAGTAAAGCCTTTTACTAATATCATTTGAGTTTCCTACCCGTTACCTTATTCTAATGGTTACAACTTCTTAATGGGTCCGGTCCCAACACCCCTATCACAAATAAAAATTGATAAAATACTATCAGATTTATATGGCTATTAGTTTGATTAAACCTATTGACTGGTATTTAGTTATGTGTTTGTGAATTTTGTTCGGAAGGTGAATATCAGTAAAATTCGGACCAAAACTTCAATATAAGGACTAAGCTAAAACTGTTTTGTCGAGATATCTTATCGCCGCATATCAAAAACGAGATGAAACGAAGAATTGCTTAAATTTATCTTTTGTTTAGACTCAGTCCTACTGAGGATAACGATGTAAAATTCAGCAATTACAATCTTAATCGAGTAAGATTGATCTTATTTTGCCATGTGCCCGTTCTACATTGCGACAGGCGGTTAAGACGAGAATTGATCAATCAGACATAGAAACATAAACCAATCTGAATGGATATACAATAAGTTGGCGACAAATATTAAATCTAGCCATGCTTATCAGTGCTTATCTGGTACGATATCATGTAAAAATTACATTGTTCAACTAAATTCTCGCAAGACTTACTACTCCAGAGGAATGCTGTAGGCTTAAAGTCACTTAAGTTAGTCATTAATACACTAACTTTAAAGTATTATATTTTTAGACTGCTGCTATACAATCATATCATAATGAGCTATCCTTTTAGTCGATTGTTTAAAAACAATTAAAAACAATTTATAAAAACCATAAGTCATTTTATCGAAACAAGACTTTATGTGGAAGCAAATCCCTGGTCGAGAACGGCATAGAAATCATCCAATGTATGAATGATATACAAATAATCGGATAAATGAAGACAAAGATAATGTGGCATTTGTATGGTCGCAGTCTCATTTTGTTTTATATAGGTTGTTTTAACTTGTTAGGGGGACCTTCATTTCGAATGAAAGTACATAAAGAAGATATTCGTTTG